GCCGTTTCATGTTGCTGTTGACAGTTCTCCTAACTGTTGTTTCCCATTGCATGACTCAGTTTCTCACATCTGTGCTGGTGCTTCTTCATCATTGTGGATCTTGTGTGTGTGTGTGTGTGTGTGTGTGTGTGTGTGTGTGTGTGTGAAAGAAAAAGTGACTTTCTGATGAAAGCAAAGGACAGATAACAGTTTAGCACATATAGACCTTGGCCAAGACCTTGGGGCCCGCCTGCCCTTGGACAGGTCTCCTGCCTCGTCTCCACGGATCCAGTGGGTGTAGGAACAGAGCCCTGGGCTGGCAACCCTAACCCTGGGGAACCCTGTCTCTCTCTGGGGCTGCTTCCTTGTTAGGAGGGATCAGCTAATCTCAGAGGGCCTCTGGTTTTGAAATGGTGTAAATGTCTTTTTCTGGCCCCTTTCACTCCCCAGGAATCCCATGAAAAGTAGGGTGTGTGCATGGGAGGACTGGCTAAGCTAAAAACAACAAGACTGGGACAGAATCCTCCAGGACTGAGAAATGGCAGTGGGGACAAGAGGCTCACAGCAAGTGATTCCTGGCTTTGTACTGTTTCTTCAGGTTCAAGTTCAGGTCTAGGCTCCCAGCAGGTGGGGTCTGCCCAGCTCCAGTAGCAGGGGCAGCTGAAGGCCTCCCAGGCTCCAAGGCTGCCACCTGGCTGCAGGTGCAGAAAGGCTTCCAGCAGTCCTGGGTCTCGCCAGGCACAGCACCCTTAGCGGTGGCACCGTGCTGACTGCAGGCTGTGGCCACCTGGTCACATTGATCACATAGGGGCCCAAGGTGTCCACCAGGTAGTCATGAAGATGCCAGCACTTCTCCTGGAACAGGAACCTCCCCGAGCTCTGGTGTGTGAGGCAGGCATGGGCCAGGACAGGCAGGGATGTGGGTGCCCAGCGCCTGCCACGAGGAGAGCCTCCTCCGGGTGGCATTGGACAAATGCCTGGTGGTGAGCAGGCGGCAGCCTGGGTGGGAGGTGGATGCTGGGGAAGAGGGCTCCGGAGGTGGCCAGAGCCAAAGCAGTTGGGTTTTGTGGGCAAGGGTGGCTAGGTGGCAGTGGCCCGTGTAATTGGAAGCCAGACTGTGCCAGCCATTGCCACAGGCCAGGAAGCGATAGAAGCCCCAGAGCCCACGGGGCTGCAGTGTCTGGCCCAGCCACACTGTGCCCTCCATCAGTGCACGGGCTGCTGTTCAAAGCCAGTACAGGCCTGTGGAGCTGCTCCTGGGAGTCCAGGTTGGGGAATACCGGTTGTGCTCAAGCCCATGAGGCTGCCTGATAGGCCCGGGGTGGGGCGGCCCCATTTCCCAGCCCAGAGTGGACACTACTCTTCCCAGTCCAGCATTGCCAGCTCCCAGGCTGCGGTGGATCTGGTAGGTAGCCCATGCCAGGTGGTGGTCAAGGAACAGCCTGAGGGACACCCCATTGTGAGCTCTGCCTCTGGGCCCAAGGTAGGGATAGAGGTCAAGCTGGTTCTTGTAGAAGATGGTGATGTTCTGGCCATGGAAACCCTGGCCATGGTTGGCTGTGATGCCCAGGGCCTGTAGTGGCAGGTGCATGCCAAAGTGGGCCCCTACTGTGTGCTGACGGTACATTCTACAGCACAGAGAGGGAGTGTCCAGGGGCCTGCAGCAGGGGCTGGCCACTCCTCAGGCCCAGGGCCACCCCTAGCACCAGGGCCGGGCTAGCTGCATGGTCACGCCCCAGTAATGGAAACATGTTGAAGCTGGATTGCAGGATGCTTGGTGTCCTGGCCCCGCACAGATCCAGATCTCACCATTGTAGATCTTGATGCCAAACCCATCCCTGCCAAGGTAGCGAGCCCTCTCTCTATTTGAGTATTAGGCTCATACTTTTGCTTCCTAATCTTCTTACAGCCTTCCCATTCAATGCACTTAAGAACAAACTACTACCAAGCATAGTAACAGGACATGTGAACAGTTTTGCAAAGCATCTCATGAAAGAGTAAAAGAGGTTCATCTCTAATTCCTTTGCTATTGGAGAATTCTCTATTCCATACCCCTTTTCTTATGGCTCATTTTTCTCATTCATTTAAAAATTTCACATTCTTAACTCTAGCATTTCTCCTTCCAGACTGGAATTCCATGAAACAATCCCATACTCTCAGGTTTTCCTTATGAAACAGAAGCAGTAGCTTCTGTTTGTTTAAACTTAGAAAAATCAATGATTTCAAATTGCAAATTCAGTTAAAATTTACTTTGCAGTAATGTTGTAGGATAATATTGCCAGAGTTTGGAAGCAGAAAGCAAATGAGGCAGGAAAACAAGATAATCGAGAGGATGATAGAACAGGATGTCTGATTAGTGAAGCACAATTACACGGAATAAATACAGTATCGATTTTGTGTAAACATCACCCACAGAAGGGGAAGAAAGGAGGGTGCTTTGTCATCTTTCCTTTTTCATTTCTATTTTTCAAGATATTTTCAAGTTCTCTGAACTATATTAGTTTTTTGAGAAAATACAATTCTGATTGAGATGATTGATATTGCTTTACATGCTCCGGCCTTCCTTCTTTGGAAATATATTTCTTCTGAGCCCCCATAGCTCTGTGTCAGGTCCACTCTTTGGCTATTTTTCACTGTCGGTCAGCATGATGTTATAGGTATTTGTTGTGTTCATGTCTTCACTCCTTTGCTGAATTGTGAATTTATTCAGAGTAGACGCATATTCTCTGTGCTTTATCAACAGTGAATTCCTTAGTGGCATGAGTAGGTGGAGTTCTTATTTTAAGAATATGATTTTAAAAATGGAATTATAAAATAATTTTATAATGAGAAATTTTCACATGGAATGCATGTCTTGGTGACTCTGAGATAAAGAATACATACTCCATTTATATCTTTAATAATTTTTAGGAGAAAAACATGGATCTTTCCACTGTAAACCAGTTTTTTTTTCTTAGTTACTTATATTTGTTTATGGTTCTTAGGGAATATATCAAATTTACACACACACACACACACACACACACTTGAAAGGAGTAGGGATCCCACTGTTCCCTTGAGAGGGGAACAGATGTGTCACCAATTCTAGCAATTGAATACAAAGGTTTGTTGTTCCCAGAGGGCTGGGGATCACAATTCTCAAGGAATGAGTTTGGTGACAGGGGCCTCTTGGTGCTTAAAGGCAGGAACCCCCCTGGGAGAAGAGAGGTCTGGATGTGGCCCTGGTTGACCAGCAAGCCCTCCCAGCTGTACTTGTCCAAATGAGAGCACAAGGGAATACAGAAATGGTTCTATCTTTTTCTCTACTTTTTTGGTGTTGGGTGAATCTGAATCTGTCTGAGGATTCTTCACCTGGTTTTTAGCTTAGCTCTTTTGAACTCAAGGATTCTTTGGAAATTTTATTGTATATGCAAACTTACAGAAAGAATCTTGGATATTCCTTTGGTACTTCATGGAAGACCATTGCTAGGGGAGGAATTCCTAACTTCATTTAAGTTATTTTGTTATTTTTTAGATAGACAGTAGGTAGAGCAGAGGCAGGTGCTCAGGTCCTGTAGCCAGATCAACTTTGGATTAGGCTCCACCACACACTTGCTGTGTAGAGGCCAATTTACCATGAAGCTGGTAACTATTCAGTTCTAGGGTGTCTTCCTTGCCAGAGAAGCCCTAGCTAATAGTTAATTAGTGAAGACGACTGTCTTTTCCAGTCGGACTACCTCTTGGCCTCCCTTTACTTTGCGTGGATGGTACTGGAACAGCCCGGGGTATTTTCAGGATCTGGCTAAAGGCAAGTTCAGTAAAGAATATGCCATTTTGCCCTGGCCTGGTGGCTCAGTTGGTTGGAGCATCGTCCCATACACCAAAAGGTTGTGGGTTCAACTCCCAGTCGGGGCACATATCTAGGTTGTGGGTTTGCTCCCCGCTTGGGGCCCAGGTGGGAGGCAACCAATCAATGTTTCTCTCTCTCTCTCTCTCAAATTAATAAAAACAGGTCCTCAGGTGAGGATTAAAAAAAAAAGAATATGCCATTTTAACTGCAATTTGAAAACTCATTTTGAAATGTGTCAATAAAACAAGTGAGAAATTACAGTCTTCTGATTTGAACTAAGGTGAATTGTCCTTTTTTGGTTTGGTCATCTTTAAACTTAATTAAAGAACTGAAAGAAAATTCATAGAAAGATAGAAATGTGAAATAGAAGTGACAAAGATGAACAATAAAATCAATAGACACCGAGAAGCAAATTATAACAAAAATTTTCAGATCATTTAAACTCATTAATTAGCAGAAAGAGTAATTTTATTCACTCATTTAGTAAGAAATATTGACTAGAAATAATGAACAACACATGTTTTGATAATGCAATTAAATGAAAAGGAGTGAATATGAGCATATTGGGAAAAGATTTAAGCTACTTACTTATATGACCCAGACCAAAGATCACATGAAATTCATAAGTCACTATAGTGAGGCAAACAGGTTCATGGGTGTTGTCAACTCAGTGATGTTGATTCAAGATTAGTAATTGACAAGAAAAGTTAAAATACTCTAAAATCTTATGGCTCCAGTATAAAAGAAACTTGATAGAGCTTTTGTCTGAATTTGACAATCCTAAGGACTTACCTGGTAGCATCTGTAATGAGTTGTGAAGCTGGAAGATATTTCCCTAACTATCTATATCAGCTGTGGGCAAACTACGGCCCGCGGGTCGGATCTGGCCCGTTTGAAATGAATAAAACTAAAAAAAAAAAAAGACCGTACCCTTTTATGTAATGATGTTTACTTTGAATTTATATTAGTTCACACAAACACTCCATCCATGCTTTTGTTCCGGCCCTCCGGTCCAGTTTAAGAACCCATTGTGGCCCTCGAGTCAAAAAGTTTGCCCACCCCTGATCTATATATATAAAACCCTAATATGCAAATAGACCGAATGACAGAACAACTGAACAACCGGTTGCTATGACGTGCGCTGACCACCAGGGGGTGCACTCAGAACATGGCAGGCATCGGCCATGGTGGGATGGTGGAGCAGGTGAGTGGGACGCCAGACCAAGGTAGGGCGTTGGTCACTGTCATCAGAGCGAGCCTCTGGTGGTTACTGGAAATTCTTTGCTCCTGTGTGCCGTAGTCCCACCCGGTGCTTGCACCTGCTGCCAGTGCCGGAGCCATCACTCGCATCCCTGCCAGCATCTGGCTCAGGCCCTGATCGCTCGGCGCCATCAGCTGGTGCAAGCAGCGGCTGCTGTCCTGATTGCCCCTGAGGGCTTCTCCACCTCCCCCTGATTCTGAGAGGCGATTAAGGCAGCAGCTACCACTTGCACCCACTGACAGTGCTGGCCCCGCTCGCACCCGCTGCTGGTGCTAGCCCCAATTGCTCTGCGCTGTCAGTGGGTGCGAGTGGGGCTGGAGCCATCAGCACGTGGGAGCAGTGGCGGAAGCAGCGGCGGGAGTGGGGCTGCTGGCAGACAGGGGACCGGGGGCTGCAGCAGGAGGGGCCAGGTGGGGGCTTGGAGGATGGGCAGAGACCCGCCCCTGTGCCCACCACAGCCTCACAGCCCATAGTTCCTTTCAAGGTGCAGGAATTTGTGCACTGGGCCCCTAGTCAATAATAAAAGCAAGTTTTGATCAACCACAATACAGGAAAGATAAATTATCTTTCATTCTCTTTATATAAAATATGTAGCCAAAAAATGCAAGAAAAAAATATGGTAGAGGTATATCAGGCAGATGATAAAAATTCCTGTGATTTTTACAATTTTATGGTATTTGTAATACTTTTACATTTGTAATTTGTGGCAATTTCTTTCCTCATTCTAAGTCAGTAGTTTTCAACCATGTGCTGCCAAGAATTTTTAAAACAAGCGATACCTGACTATTTAGTTAGGGGCACTGACCTCTTTTTTCTTAGATTATCAAATTAAAAAATCACAACAGCCAGCACAACCATAGCCATCAGGTGTGAATGCTCTGTCTTGAACCATAAATATATAGGTCATATAATAGAGCTGCATCTTATTGGTCATGTCACATAACAAGGTTGCATCTGATTGGTTAATTCTTGGTACCAGAAATTCTTATATACAAATGTAGACACCTGTTTTTTAAAAAAATATATTTTATTGATTTTTTACAGAGAGAAAGGGAGAGGGATAGAGAGTTAGAAACATCGATGAGAGAGAAACATCGATCAGCTGCCTCCTGCACACTCCCTACTGGGGATGTGTCCACAATCAAATCGGACATGCCCTTGACCGGAATCGAACCTGAGACCCTTCAGTCCGCAGGCCAACGCTCTATCTACTGAGCCAAACCGGTTAGGGCGACACCTGATTTTTTAAAAAGTCACTTTGGAGCAAAAGGGGTAGGTAGCTCATTATTATTTATTCATTTTGTTTAGTAAATAAATCAACATTATACCTGTTTGTTTGTTTTTTTGTCAGACTAGTACAGGGTTTTCTGCACTAATAGCTTCCCAAAGCACAGCTTTCTAAAGCTGGCGAGGGGTCAAGAAAGGAGGCAGCTTGCACGATTCTGAGGACCAGAGGGTTGGTTTTCCACTTGGATTCTTTGAGTCCAAGCATCTGCTGAAATTTATTTATAGGTTTACAGAAAGGGTCTTGGTTATTCTACAGCAGAAGCCCAGTGTCCTGGCTTTGGTCCAGCTTTTGAAAGCTGAAATGTTTGACTCTTTTTGTTTTATTTTAAGACTATGCTCTACTGGTGGAATCAAATGAGGAAACAGTGAGTTGTGAGCACAATGCTTTTTTTTTTTTTGAATATAGATGGCTTGGTCAGAAGTCTGAAAATCTTTCCCAGAATCTCTTCTTGTGCTGTGAATCTGTTTCTGACACCATCTCACCGACAGACTGTCAGTTCTGGGGGCTTCCTCTTGAACAAACCCAGATACAGACTCTGAGCCCCTTCAGGGCAAGAACCTTCAGGGCAAGTCCTAGAAGCAGCAGGGTGCCTAGTACTTAGTTGGTGCCCAGTAAATATTTCTGGAGTGAATGAGTGAATGGTGAATGAATGAAGGACCATCTAAGTCAGGGGTGGGCAAACTTTTTGACTCGAGGGCCACAATGGGTTCTTAAACTGGACCGGAGGGCCGGAACAAAAGCATGGATGGAATGTTTGTGTGAACTAATATAAATTCAAAGTAAACATCATTAAATAAAAGGGTACTGGACCGGAGGGCCGGAACAAAAGCATGGATGGAATGTTTGTGTGAACTAATATAAATTCAAAGTAAACATCATTACATAAAAGGGTACGGTCTTTTTTTTTATTCATTTCAAACGGGCCGGATCCGGCCCGTGGGCCGTAGTTTGCCCACGGCTGATCTAAGTCAACAGCATTTTCAAGATGGAGAAGGAGGCCTCTCGATCAAATAAGTTTGCATGGTATTTATTTAAGGGATAGTAAGGAAGACTCTGTTAAACGAAGTTTACTTAAAAAATAAATGTGTTTTGAGAGTAAACCAGTTCACATGTTGATATAGAATAAAGTGCTTTGCAGCTCTAGGTGCATTTCTCCAAACGGGAAACATTTAAATACATGTCAAGGTAATTGAGGTGTTTGGTAGAAGTCAGTAGAGGCCCATAATTTAGCCCATGGGACTTATAAGACAGAGAGTCTGGCCTCTAAACCCAGTTCTGACATGTATAGGCTTGTGGTCTTGCCTAAATTACCTAAACTCTCTGAATTTTCTCATTCCTATAATGGGAATAATAATAATGACTTCATAGGGTGGTTGGGAAGACTGAATTAGATAATGCTTGGGACAGAGTAAGTGCTGAATAAAAACTTCTCCCCATCCCCCCTCCTCCCTCTTTTCTTCCCTGCTGAATGCCCTGGGCATTGGTGTTTTCTCCTGCTCACTTCTGCAGTTGGTCTTCCCCGGAAGCAACTTAGAGTCTGGGCAATTTTCTGGAGGACACTGTTCAGCCCTACCTGACAATAACATTTTTGCATAACCTTTGGATAGTCAAAGAGGAAACACATAAAGATTTATATCCCTACATTTTACACACGGGTCTGGCACTTACAATTTTGCTCATTTAATGAGTGGCCATTCCTTTCCCACACCCTCATGCCCCCAGGTTGGGTTTCACCAGCATTTCAAGCCCTCTGGGATTGCTCTGTGCTCCTTGCTCTCCTTGGAATGCAAGCCTACTTTTATTTTCCTCTTCAGAGATTTTACTAGGTGAGACATTGACATTGAAGACAGTTTCCTAAGGGCTTGGGCCTTGAAGGTGACTGACTTTTTAAAATCTATTCGTGACTTAGAAAAGCCGAGCAAAACTCACCCTAATGGAGAGCCCACACGCTCTCAAGCGGCCCTTTCTCCTGGCTCCTCCATGACAGTCCAAGGTCAAGCTCATTCGTGGTGGTGGCTTGATTTTGCTCATTTTGTACATTATTTATGTAACATGCGGGTTGTGAGGGAGTGTGGATGTAGATGACTCATAGGCACAAGCAGTTGGAAACAGATTGCAGAACCCAGCTCCTTTACCGGGGTGTCCCCCACCCTCCACCCCCCAAGTTACTTCATATGCTACTTCTTGCATGCCCTGCAGTGCTACTCAGGATACATGCAGTCCTTGCCCCCCCTCCCCCCTGCCAAACCCCCATGGAGCAGGAGGCACATGACCCTTTAGAGACTCAACCTGCAACAGATTCTGGGGACACACCCACCTCTCAAGATGGAATTCTCATGAAAAAAATCTAAACCATAAAAAAGCATAAGGAATTCTGAGAAAGTTATGATGACTACTTCAGTGCCTATTTTTTGAAATATCAAGTTCTTAAAAAAAGTTTCTTATTTTTGTGCTGTTGCCCCTGCTTTTCTCGGCTGTGCCTGGCACCTGCCTGTTGGGAAGCCCGATGCCTGGTAGCATGCTGTTTGCTCATGGCTAAACTGCAAAGGAACCTCTTCGCAACTTTTTAAAAGTTTTGTCTCACCTGGAAGACCTGCTTTCAGGTGACATTCAACATTGTCTGGTGCCCTGGGGAGAACACAGACTGTGGACTTAGACAACCTTGGTCAGGTGACCTGTTTGCTCTGTGTATCAGTTATCTATTGTGAAGGTAATGCCCTGGAACAAAACCCATCAAAACCTCCGTGGCATACAAAGCATTTATTGCTCATGCTTCAGGGGTGGTCAGCTGAGCAGCTCTGTTGATCTTAAGGAAGCTTATTCAACACTTGCTGACCACTGATCCAGGATGGCCTAGGCTGGGGTCATGGGGTGTCTTGACCTTGTGCCACATAGCTCCCATCCTCCAGCAGGCTGGTCTGGGCATACTCCCTTGGCATGGCAGATCAAGAGTGAGAATAGGCCCAGTCACACAAGTACTTTTAAAGCCTTGGGTAGTGCATCATATTTGCTAACATCTCATTGGCCAAAGAAAGTCAAATGGCTGAACCCAGAGTTGGAGTCAGCGGTTCTCAACCTGTGGGTCGCGAACAATGAAAATACATCCTGCATATCAGATATTTACATTACAATTCATAACAGTAGCAAAATTATAGTTATGAAGTAGCAACGAAAATAATTTTATGGTTGGGGGTCACCACAACATAAGGAACTGTATTAAAGGGTCGCGGCATTCGGAAGGTTGAGAACCCCTGGAGATGGACATACATATTTACATGGCAAAAGGCTTAGAAATAGGAAGAAGTGAAGAATTGGGTCATTTTTATAATGCACTACACTGAGTGACCATGGGAAAATTAACTGACCTCTCTGAGCCCAGTTTTCCCTTTCTTTTGAAATAGAGCTTATGACCCCTAGCCATGAAGCTTGTGTGAGGATCAAATGAGAGAACTGGGTTGAATAGGTGTGATTAATGGCTATTTAAGCTGACAAAGGTGCTATGAAACTTGAAACTGATATTAACCAGTTTTCCAGGCTAAGGAGGGTAAATACACATTCCTGTGGCTAGTTTCTCCATTAGCAGATTAGCTATTGCATTAGCCAGGGTTCTTTAGAGAAATAGAATCAATAGGATGTATCTCTCTCTCTCTCTCTC